CGCGTCGCCGTCGGCGCACCGCTGGCGTGGCCGCAGCGCTGGCGACGGCGGAAGTGACGCGGGGCCAACTTCCATCACTGGCTCGCTGGGCAGGACACCGACGTAGAGGCACGCCGTCTCGTGTTGTGCTGCGGTGTCACGCTTCGCCCACCACCAGCACTAGCACCAGAAGCCGCAGGAAGAAGGGAGGTGCTGAACATGCCGCTGCGGTAATCATCCCACGGGTGTGTCAAGCGAATAAGATGGTCGGGGAGTGTGTTTCTTGTTGGTGTTGTTGTTGTTATTCCCGTCTTGTTCTTGCATGGGTGCTTTGTGTGGTCGTACGTCGGCGTCTCTGTGTGTGTGTGTGAGTGTAAGAGAGATAGGGTGTGTGTGCAACTGACGTTTACACCTCCTCCTCCTCCTTCTTNTGTGTGTGTGTGTGAGTGTAAGAGAGATAGGGTGTGTGTGCAACTGACGTTTACACCTCCTCCTCCTCCTTCTTGGCTCTGTCTCCGCCTGTAGGGAAGGTGGAGGTGGGAATGCGGCTCAAGCAGAGGCAACGAAAAATAAATGGTTCCTTCAATCGCAAGTCCAGAGTGTCTCCTTTCTCCTATGTCTCTCTCTCTCACCCTCTGCGTTTGTATGTGTGTGTTGTTATGTCCTCTAATTCTTTTTTCTTTTCTTTTCGTTTCCTTTTTGCCCCATTTTTTTTTATTATTATTGGATTTGCTTCGCTGCCGTCGTTGGCGCAGCGAAGGAATAGTTGACAAAGGTAGAGGAGGCGTGGTGCCGTAGCCCGTCGACTGCAGCAGCTACCGGTGCGGGTGGTGTGTGTGTGTGCAAAGTTCGCCCAGAAGCATCCCTGTCGGCCACATGTCGGTGACGGGTGTCTTCAGCAAAGGCCGCGGTGTTGGCCACGACGCCGCCACGTCGCTGCTGCGCTACATACCGCGCCCGCGCGTGCCGTGGCAGCCGAGCCGCTTTGGTCGCGCGAACCTCACGGCGGAAGACCTCGCACGGCTGTGGAGCAGAGGCCGCTACCGCGACGGCCCTGGCAACTACAACAGCGGCTACTCGACGGAGCGGACACACGTGTTGGAGGACAACACGGTGGCGATGATACCGAAGCACGAGCTGGAGAGGTACATGCCGGACATTAGTCTTGGGCCCAAGGCGCTTGTGACGCCCGTGTCGCTTATGAGTGCGCGTAATGGGCACCGCGTCACGCACGACCTTCTGCACTCATACGACCCGCACATTGGCCGCCTCGACAAGCCGGCACTGGTGGACCACGACAAGATCTGCGTGGAGGACCCGAACCGTGTCGGCCTCAACGCAGCGACGCTCGACTGTCGCGGCCGCATCCACCGTTGGCTGCGGCGCGGGCCCTTCTTTCAGGAGGACCACTACATGCGCCGCTCCCTCAAGCTGCAGCGCGACGGGACAGTTCCAGCCGCAGCACACGAAGCGCCGCTGATGCGCAAGATCATCCGGCTGGCGCAGCGCGGTCACCTCAAGGCCGCATGTGAGGAGTACCGCCGCGTCACGACGATTCCACCGGTGGAGGTGTACCGTGCGCTGACGGCGTGCTGCATTCCAGCGGGCCTTATCGCCGATGCGGTGGCCATATTTGAGGACGGCAATGCGAAGCTCTTCTATGTAGCGCGGGACGGAGAGGTGCTCCATAACTTGATGCGCTGCGCTATTCGTGCGGAGCATCGGGTGCGTGTCATGTGGGTATATAACGTCATGCGCGGCCGCTATTATGAGAATGTTGTGGTGCGTGCGGAGATTGAGCCAATGTGGCGCTACCGCATCGCCCTGCTCGCACTTGAGTACCTGCTAGACCACAACTGCGCCGAGGAAGCAGCGGCGGTCTATTGCTACCTCGCCAAGGAGGAAATGCTGCAGTGCGATGTGCATGTACGCATCGGTCACCACATGCGTGCAGCGCTCGCCGCAGGAAAGACGGTGACGCTCAGCAATGAGGTGTTGCGCACCACGTCACTCGTGAAGGATGTCGAGGCGGTGGCGCCGGAGGTGGCGCGCGAGCTGCACCGTCGCCACATGGAGGCCCTTCGCAGCAGTGACACGAGCACCGCAGGGGTGGGGCCGCTGTGGTCAGCGCACGGGCCCCTTACCGCTGGTAATAGTGGTGATGGTAGTGCAGAGCCAACAGCAGCGAATGCCATGCAGTGGCTGCAACAGCACTTCGGTGATGTCGATGTCGCGAGTGTGATGCGGTGGGCACGCTTTCGCCACGCGAAGGATTTGATGGCGAAGGACCGCCCGCAGTATCTTGCGCGTGCGGCGGTGTGGATTGAGCTCCTGAGCAAGCGTAGCCACGCAATGGAGGAGGTGCCACTGACGTACATGCGTAAGTCCAAGCCGCTTGCGCTCGACACAAACCCCAATGTGCGCGTTGCCTGGCAGACGCAAGTGACGAAGCCGGACGGACCGCCGCGGCTCCTCGGACGTGAGGAAGGGTATGTCTTCTATCACAGCGATCACTCTCGCTTTGTTACAGAGACGTACCGCCATGCAGGGGAATCGCTGCACTCACGCTTCCTTGCGCTACAGCCTATTCACACAGAGGTCTCCGCCAGGGAGGACTTCCAGCAGATATACACTCAGCAAAAGGAACGCCGGCGGCGGTCGCTACCCAATGGGGCGATGGCAGCAAACACGCCACCGGCACGTATCCTGCACCACTCTGTGACGAATGAAGTGCGCAGTAGTGGAGGTGGTGGCAGTTCTCGCCCCGACACCACAGCGGCAACTACATCAACTGACGTGCGGGGTGCGGCATCCGCAGGAGGTGGGGAGGGCTCCATGACCGCAAAGGCCCACGAGATGGCTGGCAGCAGCACCAATGGTGGAAGTGGCGTCACACCCGAGTTCTAAAGCTCTGGAGAAAGGAAGGGATGAAGTGGAATGGCGCAATCACAATCAAAACGATAAACATACAAAGGGACAGAGCCCGTGTGTTAGTGGAAAATGGCCGGATTTCTGTTGCCTTTGGGAACGGAGGATAGG